CCCTTCCCGGACTCGCCTCCCCGCCCCCAAGCGAGCCTGGCGCGCTGGGCTCTTCCAATTGGGACCCAGCAAATGGAGGAAAAGGAAGCCGAGTTTCGGTTAAACCGACCCACTGCTAGATCTGTTGGCCTTTCTGATTTTTCTGTGGCCGTGCTCCTTTGGCTTTTTGCTTTTCCAGTCGGAGGCTGCTTTTCCCCAAACGCTTTCAGTCCTCGTCTTGGCAGTTTCAACTCGAATCCTCCACCTTTTCTTCCATCTTAGATTTGCTTTCTTGTGTGATTCTCTATCTAGTCGTTGAAAACTCCTTAAAAATTTCAGTTGTGACTTGTACAACAGCAATTGGCGATTGTTTTACGCACCGGTTTTGCCCCCGCCCTTCGCCCGGCCCATTTGGTTTAATTTTGGCAAGTCCTGCCTTGTGGATTGGATTTTAAATTCAGGAAAGGCGAGGGCCGAGACTTTCTTTTGTCTCCTCCACAACCCCTGGTGCAGGTCCTGGGAAATCCACACTGCACATGTACTTAACAATCTCACGGTATGAACAGCCCTTGTAGAAGCCTTAGAATTACATCTAAGTTTTCTCTACCTTCAAAAAGACAACCTCCTCTTAAGACATGCTAGCCAGCCTCTGCCTGGTCGTCTGGCTAGGAGGTCCCAGAAGCTAACAATGAGGGTGAGACCCTGCCCGGTTATACACCTTTGATTTTCTTCCTATTTTTTGTTTTCATTTCGTTTTGTTTTGTTTTTGTTTGGCTCTTGTGTGGATTCTGAGTCCACAGCAGGAGCAAAACCCACAGGCCTCCCAGAATCTCCACAAGGCTGCTGGCTCCATAGCTGGCCTTCTTTCTCTCTCTTTTCTTAGCTTTCTCCTGAGGGCCCTGCACCTGTCTATCCCTGCATCGCTTCTGGAACTGGAACCCAGGGCCTAGTCCATGTCAGGCAAGCATTCCCCTCCTGAGCTGCTCTCCGGCCGTGCTTTGTTGTGGCCAGGAATGGACTCCTACTTCAGAGAGAGGGGACGTTCGAGGGTTATTAGACAAGTGATGTGAACTGACAAAAATAAAGGGCTAAAGTAAATGGACTCCTGATACTGTTCCATTTAACCCTGATTTTTGTCATTCAAGTCTCACTATGAAGTTCATGCTAGCCCTGAACTTACTCTGTAGTCCAGCCTATCCTCAAACTCACTAGGATCCTCCTGCCTCAGCCTCCCAAGTGCTGAGATTACACGTGTATACCACCACACCCAGCTAACTCGTCTTTTTAATTATATAATCAAGTCCAATCTAAATTATTGAAAGAAGCAGAAAATATGTTGAAATACATTTTCCAGTGCATTTTATAAAAGATGGAAGAAGTTAAAAGATCTCTGAATTATTATGTATTAAAGGTAGACATTCCTGGGCATGGTAATGCACACACACCTGTGATCCCAGCACTTGGGAGGCTGAGGCAGGAGATTCACCATGCATTTGAGGCCAAGCTTGGCTACATAGGGTGCTCAAGGCTAGCCTGAATTGCATATCAACACTTGTCTCAAAAAACAAAACAAAACAAAAAAACACCAAAATAAATTTTAAAAAATAGAATGAAGGTAGACATTTTCACACAAACAACAAACCATCAGATCTCTCACATCCTGAGGTCGCAGGACCATTCTGCAAGGCAGTGACTATAAACCTATAAACCTGAGTTCAACTGGGAGTGGTGGTGCCTGTAATCCCAGCACTCAGGAGGCTGAGGCAGGAGGATCGCTGTGAGTTCAAGACCAACCCGGGCTACATAGTGAGCTGCAGGTCAGTCTCAACTACATAGTGAGACCCCCATCTCAAAAAACAAGAAAATTAAATCCTATTAAGGAAATTCTGACTAGACCAGCGATGGCAAACCTTGAGGGCTTTCAGTGGTGCAGATGGTGCTGCGGCCTGACCTGGCACGCGTGCCATAGGTTCGCCTCCGCGCTCTTCCTGCATAGATTGTCAGTTGTCCTCGAGCTGTTCCCAGTAAAGTGTCCACCTGGGAGAAAGGAGAACAGGTCTAAACCTGTGCGAGCACGTGACTTCCAGCTGTCACAGCAGCTGGCTCTGTGACCCTGTGCAGGCTGCGTGGCCTCTCTGCAGAGTGAGAGTCCTCCTCGATAAAGGAAGCAGAGCAGACTGGAAGATGTGTAGAATCTTCTCAGAGAGAGCTCTAGTTTCGTCTTTGCTGACTCCAGAACTATAAAACTTCAAAAGAATTATTTATTTTCAGCTTTTACTTGTCATGCCTTTGGGAGGGGCTGGCTGGGGTTCATGCCTGGGGCCAGCAGCAGGCAGATCCCGTTCCACCCCCGCCCTAGGCACCGTTTTCACTGTCTCCTAAGCCTCCCCCCTGGATGATAAGCCTTTCCCAAGCAGGACCCTGGTTTACTCTTACCCACCTCCCAGCACGTCCTGACTACTCCATTTATAGTTCTTTTTTATTTTTATTTTTTCCTGGTTGCGGGGGTTACTGTACCACAACCAAGACACCCACTGATGTTTGATTTTAAGAGAGGCCTTGACCAGGCAAGGTGGCACATGCCTATAATCCTGTGATCCCAGCACTCAGAAGGCTGAGGCAGGAAGATTGCTGCAAATTGAAGCCCCACCTAGGCTACAAAATAAATTAAAGCCAGTCTGAACTACAGAGCAAACCTGTCTCAAAAAAACAAAAAAAAGAAAGCAGAAGAGAGAGAGAGGTCATAGGGCTGGCAGGACTGTCCAGGAGCTCAGTGGTTAAGTGCTTACTTGCTTCTGTGAGGTTCGGTCCTCAGCACCCCACACCACAAGTCTCATATCAAGAATAAAGCTCTGATAATAAATGTCATCTACCAATTCGCCCCCGCCGAGAAACAAGGTCTTTCACTATGTTACAGGTTTTGACTGTCTGGCGTAAGTGTTCCTCCTGCCTCAGCCTCCTGAGTATCTGTGACGACAGCACATATGCTAGAGCCTTCGTAACATAATACCTGTAAAATAAATAAACACCTTAGGATTACCTTGCAAAACCCTGCTTGCCACACAGTTAAGACTGTGGGCACCATTAGCAAATACCATCCAGATCTATCACTGGTCTTAAACTAAACTCTGAGAGGTGCAAAACAAATATTTATGGCGTATGTGGAAATATTCATTTTATTTATTTTTGTTTTTAATTTTTTTTGGTTTTCTGAGACAGGGTCTCACTATGTAGCCCAGGCTGGCCTCAAACACAAAGCAATCCGCCTGCCTCAGCCTCCCAACAGCTTCCCAAGTGTTAGGATTACAGATGTGCCACCATGCCCAGCTAAATGTTTGTTTTGCGACATATATCTGCGTGTGTGTGTGTGTGTGTGTGTGTGTGTGTGTGTGACAGAGACAGAGGGAGAGAGAGAGAACTTTCTCCCCTACATCAATAACATATTATGCAGTTACTGCCATCTAGTGAAGTAGGGTTGTGTCAAAAACCGACTTCAGCTGGGCACGGTGGTGCACATTTGTGAACCAGTCTGGGCTACGGTGTGAGTTCAAAATGGAAAAATCTGAGAAAATGAAGAAATGGAAATAAAGTGCTTGTAAATGGGGAGGGGAGGAGGGGTGAAGGGAGGGCAGGGACAAGGGGAAAAAATGAGAACCAAGACCTGTCATGTAAAGGTACAAGATCCCAATGATTAATGTAACTGTACTGTGTGCCTAAAATGTACCGATAAACTCAATGAGAGAAAAAAAAAGTCTGGAGCCGGGTGTGGTGGTGCAGGCCTATAATCCCAGCATTTGAGAGGCTGAGGCAGGAAGATGGCTATGAGTTCTGGGCTACATGGTTCCAGGTCAGTCTCAACTACATAGTGAGACCCTGTCTCAAAACAAACAAACAAACAAACAAACAAAAAGACCAGTCTGGAATACATGGGGCACCAAGTCCCGGTCTAAAAAAGTAAATTAAAATGAAATCCAAAAGTGAGTTCCTCAGCCACACCGACCATATGGTGAGGCCTCCACAGCCACCTCACGGATGTGGAGGAGAATATTTGCATCCCACAGAAAGTGCTAGGGATGGCACAGTTATGGACTTTTTTTTTTTTGTACTGAGGATCAAACTCACGTCCTTGTGCTTGTGAGGCAGGCAGCAGAACCACTGAGCTAAATCCCCAGCCCATGGACTGTTTTTTGTTTGTTTGTTTGTTTGTTTTTTGAGACAGGGTCTTACTATGTAGTTGAGTCTGACCTGGAACTCACTATGTAGCCCAGGCTGGAACAGTGATCCTCCTGCCTCAGCCTCCTGAGTGCTGGGATTACAGGCTTGCACCACCACACCTGGATAGTTACGGACTGTTTTAAAGTACATTTTACTGGGATTTGGACTCATCTTACTGGGCTCAGGTGCTGCACGTGCTTGACAAGCACAAGGTCCAGAGTTTGATCCCTGGTACCAAAAAATAAGAGTACATTTGAGGCTGGCATGGTGGCACATGCCTGTAATCCCAACACCTGGGAGGCTGAGGCAGGAGGATCACTGTGAGTTCAAGACTACATAGTGAGTTCCAGGTCAGTCTCAATACATAGTGAGACCCTGTCTCAAAAAAACAAAAAATAATAATAAGAGTACATCTTACACTGAGGGAGTAACTGTGAGGTCTGGGTGTGACTCAGTGGACAGTCCAATGGAAGGGTGGCCCCAGGAAAGGGAATACAAGTGCGTCAGATACGGAGGTATCGAAATATCTGGAGAACATGTAGATCGTCATAGTCAACTCCAACTCTTCCAGTCATGCAAATAGCAAGTATTTACTGAGCATCTGCTATGTGCCAGGTGTATGTGCAGGGCCAACAGATGCGTGACACAGCCTGCATTCCCAGGAGCTTACAGTTTGGAGGAAAGATGCGCTATGACCAGACACTAGGAGACACAGTACAGCATCACTTGGAGCCT